AGAGGGCATGGCTACACCATAGTCCTTTTTCCTTCAGTCTATTCTCCAGATTTGGGGCATGCACACACACATATCCATGTGATTTTCAAACCATGAAGTCCAAGAATCGAACCGCCTACTTGGTCATGTGGGATCCAGCACCTTAACCACCACACCACCTGCTGACCCAGTGGTAAATTTTCTTTTATTATTTCTGTACTAATATCTTCATACTCATTTTCTTGGTTTGTTCCTTCTGGAATTTCTGACCATTGGTTGCTGGACCTCTTTTATTTTTTTCCCCTCTTTCCAGTTTCTTCGGAGTTTTTTGTTCATCTGTCCAGAAAAATTTTCAAATGGGCCACCTAACATTTCTATTAATTTTTTTTTAGAATTATTTCATTTAATTTTATTTATCCATTTATTTACTTTAATTTGACCAGAGAGTGATAGCGAGAGAGAGAGAGCAAGAGTGAGCGAGGCGCCAGGTCTGGGACTCGAACTGTGGTCGGCCATGTGGGAGTCCAGCACCCTTAATCACCATGCCACTTGCTGATCCCTCCTTCTATTAAATGTTTAATTTCCCCTGAGTGTTCTTTAAGTTTATGTATTTATCCCATGAGTGAGAGAGACAGAGACAGTGGGACGGCACCCACCCCCCGCAGTCATGTGGCCATAGTCTACCGCCAGTCTCAGCCAGCCTGGGTCATGGCGCACACATGCACGTGGTATGCTTTGCAGAGTGTTGTGTTGTACTGGTGGGCCGACGTCTGGCCACTGAAGGGTCTTTTTTTAGTATCCTAATCTCATTTAAAGGCATTGTCTTTATCTCTTTATAATCTTTATCATAATTTTTGAAGTTTTTTCTTGATCTTTTTTTCTTCATTCCCTTTCTCTGCTGACTTGGTCTCATCTGTTATGTTGGAGGCTTTCCTCAAATGCCTGGATGTATTTCCTGGCCTGTTTTTAGCAAACAAGGCCTTAAAGCAGAGACTGGAAGTTCTTTGTGATAGGGCTCATCAGCCGACGGGCTTCAGTGTAGGGGATGGGGCGAGGGG